CCATGCTGTCAAAACTCACAAGCTGACTTGATTTTTCTGTCCAGGAATCATAATAAAAATCACATTTAAGTTTCAAATACAAGTTACATTAAAACAAGGTTTAAACAAACAGAAAAAGATTTCCAGTACTGTTTTTCTGTATTATTACCAGTGACCTACAAAACAAGAAACACTACTGAAAAGGTTATTTTGTTTGTTTGTTTGTTTTTTAAAAAATTTATTTCCCACACAAGCAATAGACTTCTGCAAAGAATCTGCTCTGCCAGATACATACAAGCTCAAAGAGATGGGACAGCATAAAGAAAAGCTTTCTTTTTAAAACATGAAAAACAATTCGTAAGCTCCTTCCACTCTAAAACAAAACCAAACCAAACCAAGAACTGTGCAGACTTCCATAATTAATGCAGTATGAACAGCAACATATACTGAATATTTTTAAAGGACAGCATTCCTTTAAAAAGGTGTAACTAATTCATTTGACAGTCCAGCTGAGATATGTTTACATCCCTATCTACTTCTAAATCCTGTGCTAAATGAAACGGTGTTTTTTTTGCAGGAGTAGACATGCACTTGGAACACTCAAATAATGACAAATGTAAATAAATTAGCAGTTTACTTTATGTTTACAGTAAAAAATGTTATATATACTCAATAATATATTCAGCATGTTACTTAATTCACTGCATCTGAATTTGCATATTCTTGGAATACTTTTCAATGCTTCGGTCCAGCAATTAGCATACTGAATCTTATTAAATATATCAAAGATGTCTTTTCAGTTAGCACAGTCAAAAGAACATGTATACGTGCAAAACATTTTTTTAAACACTAGTAATTTAAGAAACATTAAGTGCCATAGAAATTGTTACCATCTTAATACACTAGACACAACAGAAATCATTAAAAAATACCTACAACAGCACCATCCAACCGATTTGATTTGCAGACATTTTACAAATATTTCACTGGAAAGGAAGATCCCTATAAGGGCCATTGAAGCCCCATAAAGATAAGTTTGGGCTTTTTTCTAATTATCCTTTACAGATCCCCTTGAAAATCTCTCCCCAGAAAACTCAAGATGGATCAGATGCTGAAAGCTGGTGTCTCTGCCATACTACAAAAATTATTCAGCCTGGCACTACTAGTCACTCTAGGTAAAATACTGGCCCTGCTGAAGTGACCAGCTATTTTTCATTTTATATCTAATTTATTACACAAATAATAAGTCATAAAAGGAATGTGTTCTATTCCTTTTCAACAGTTTCCCAGTGCAGCCAAGGAAAGCCAAGTTAGGTCAAAATCAAAGAATTAAAAATTTCACTCTTTAATTTCGACAAAGAACTGCATTTACCATGCAGGGGAAGGGAAGGTATTTTAGATCACCAGGCCTCTGCTCCTTGACTGCTAATTCGCACATTGTGGTACAATGGCACATCTTCCTGCCTTGTAACCTTTCTGCCAGAAGAAAAATCACAAAATGCCAGCTTCTGTCAGTTTGTTCTTCTGGAATAAATGGAAAGCTCCAAAGCCAGACTGAACGATGTGCCTCTGCAGTCATTCACATCTGCTCCATCCACTACCTACCCTCACATAGAGATGCTTTTTATCCCATGGTCAGAGATGCAAAGTATTCCACCTCCTACATGTAAAACACACAGTAGCTGCACAATTGCTGCATAACACACACCTCCCCTTCCTTCTGCATCGAAGTTTCTTCTGCCTTTGATATGTGCACATTTAAGTTTTCATTTTTTCAGAATGCTGACCCTTATGTAAATGAGATCCAGGATTTTAAACGCAGTGCCAAAGTTAAAAGAAAGATCTATCAAAAAGTGCATTTTTTTCACCTCTTGCCACAGAATAAAGGGAATATGCTTATTTTAACTCCTGTAATTCTTCTTAGTAACTACAAAAAAAGAAATGAGGTTGTTGCAAACTCTAAAAACCAACCTTGAAGCAATTGTAAAAACGTAAGTGTGGCTCACACTACAGCGCTTTTAATTCTCAATTATTGTTCAACATGATGAGTCATTCAAATCCACCATCATAATATGCGTGTCAGTAATTCAGTCCTGGGGATTCTTCATTCTTGTTTATTCTGATATGCTACAGATATGTTATTACAGTCAAAAAAGTGTCCCAAAAGAAGGTTTCAGCGAATCTCTTCAGCAATCATAAAAACATTGCAAAAATACATCACTAGCATTCACCTTCTTGACCCACTTAAAAATAGTTTCACATTCTTGCCAAAAGCACAGTGCTGCCACGTTACCTCTTCCAGATTTTCACCCTAAAACTGAAATACAATATATGTACAATAAATGAAGCACAAGCTCAGCCCACGGCTTGCTGTTAGTTACACTCCAAATAGAAAGCATTCAGATTTTGTATTTTCACTCTTCCGCTCTGTTCATTTTGGCATTTTATACTTTATAATCAAATGCATACTGATATCGAAGTAGCATTGTATGACTGAAAAGCAATAAACTTGACTTGCCATCCTAGCTTTATCTCAGAGAAAAATATATATAGGTATAAATCACCACTTCTAGAAACCACACAATATAATATTCTTCTAGAAATGGTCAGTGAATCAAACAGGCTCTTAAAGTTTTAGGTCAATCACATTCCTTTGGGCACATTCTGTACAACACACATGGCTTTAATCAGACACATATACCAGGATATGCTTTCAAAATTAGCATTTTACATTACGTAGTGTGGTGCACAGAAGAGACAAGGTTGTTGTTGGCTTGCTTTTTAACACTAGAACGAGAAAACAAAACATTTACTACTTCTTATGCAAATATGAGCAATAAATGCTGCTGTTCAATATTTTCTTCCAAGAATCTTTCAGCAGATGGACTTAGAAGGAAAGGTGTTTTCAAAAGAAAATAATCTTGCTGTCCGTTCAACTACATACCTTTAACAAGTAACAAATCTTGTATTACAGTTTCATTCCTACTCAAATCAGTAGGATCCTCCTATAAAAGGAGAAGCCTGGTGAAGAGTGTTGTATAACACATCATCTTGTAAGAATGAACTTTCACTTAAAATGATGCTCAAAAAAACATGCCAGCAGGAAAATCTGATGGCAGCCACAGACTCATCATGGAAAGCTACTTGCACCAGAGCCACTTCTCTCTTCCTTCAGTAAGATCCCACCATTATCAGTTTAGTAGGGCCGTAGAGAGAAATAAATTGGCAGTCTCCCCTCTGGTCATTCACAGATTTTCTGCTATTAGGAAGATTACTTACAGAAACACAACTCTATTAATGACAAGCTTGACCCAGCATATTTTAAGGGTCCAAACAACAACAAAAAGATTCAAACAGAACATCTTCCTTTCATTTGAGAGTCTCTCTCATGCCAATCACTGCTAGGTGAAAAAATGCACAAACAGCACAGCTGAATCTGCACAGCAATGATGCAGTGACCCAGAAAGAGAATCTAATGGTGAACTGAGTAAATGAAGCAAAACTCACCAAAACCAAAGGGCAGCATGCATATGGACACGCTTAACTGCCTACTTAACTGGGAACATACTTAAACTTATTCTCATATTTCCACATTCTGCAACAAGAATTCACATTCCCATAAACAGCACTTCCTTCATTGTTTCCAAAACATCTATTACGCAAAAGAAGAAAAACAAGTGCCCAGGTTCACAGAAAAGTTAGAGAACAAAATACGGAGAAACAAAAAGTGATTACTCTATCAGACATTTAAAAAATAAAATGAAATTTGTAATTGATAGTTATACTGACAACTAGGTATGGTTCAAACCAAAATGTTGGATTCAAACATCATTCTTCCTGAAAACATGGTTGTAAATTTTTGAATGAACCTGGTAAAAATATATATATGAATCTGTCTCTCATCTATACATACAAGTCTACATAATTTACCATACACTCACACACCTCCATACAAACAAAGCAATTATTTCAGACTAAGTATTTATCTTCTGCTCCCTTTTTCATTAAAAAGAGGATTGTTATTAATATTACACAAGAACCAAAACCACACACTTCTGAATCTTTGGTGCAGCTTATGTCAAAAGGGCAACATATATCAAAGGGGCCACCCAAGAAGTAGCACAAAGGACAAGAAAAAAAACCACATTGTATCTTTCATTTTCATTTCAGTACATACAATGTCATTCTACCCACTAACCCAACAGCAAAGCTTTTCAAATTCAGATTCTTTCCAAAGAGCACATCCAAACACAACTAAAAAGCAGAAACAAAGTTTCACACTTGCCCAAGACACTCGGTATGCCACTGGGCATCACTTGCACTTTCCATAAAGCATTATACAGAAAAAGAGATGAGTGCCAAGAAGATGATAAAGCACAGCTGAAATATCAGTTTATACCAACAGATTTATTCCTTTCAGAAAACACAAATGGAAAAGTTTTTGTGACATTGTAGTCAGAGCAATGCCTTGCACTCTGAAGTTACAGCATTTTACTGTAGGGCATCTCAGCATTTTTCTGAGAAGTCTCACTTGGCCCTTTTTCTAACAAAATTAAACATTTTCCTAGAGATGACAGCTATCTCCTGCCACAGGCCATTGCAGTTTACAGCTTCTGAAAAACCAGCAGACTTCAATTCAGCTCTTCTCCCACTCACCTGCCTTTCCATTAGTCTTCCAGGCCAAACTTTAGTACCGTGTAAAAGCAGTCAACTATCACAATTTTTAACTCTCTTAACGTGCATTTATTGAATCCGCCTGGAAACTGGGAGGCATTGGGGAATGAATAGGCCAAACCAAAACCAAAACCATTTTCAGAGAACTTCTCCACAATCAGTGTCATATGCTTGAATTTACTAGAAAGACTCCAATAAGCCCCAATCACATTTGGATTAGTCTTAAGGTTTTAAGCCTCCATCATACCACTCTGTCAAATTTCAACCAGAAATACTAAAAAAATAAAAAAAAAAATAAAAAAAAAAATCTATAATTTCCTTTAAAGTGTAACACACATTTTGCTTACCTCACTGTTGTGGCCCCTCAAATTGAAGTTGATTCTCTGAGGGGTGTTCCGGTCCCTCCTGCAATGGCTGGAAGTAAAAGTGACGCCTACAACTCCTCTGCCATTGCCTGTTGCCAACCAGCCTTCCTCATAGTACCGCCTCCTGCACACTGGTTTCTCCTTCTCACTTTTGGGGACTCTCCCTTTCCAGGAGAGGCAGAGGATGTTGGAATCGCTGCAAAGAACAGGCCCATGTTCCACTGCTGCATACATGCTTTTAAAATATTTTATTTTTTGACATACGAAAGTAATATGTCTAGTGCACAAAATTTAAATCAATTTTTTTTTTTTTATTGATAAGACTGACCTGGGATAGATCATTGAAAGGGAGGAGGATGGGGTCAGTGTTTATAAATATCCACCAAATGCATAGTGAAAAATTCCTCTATAAAAGATGATGGCAGTTGGCTAAGAAAAAGTAACACTTAAAAAAAAATTCAGGTTCATTTTTGTTTTCCAGTCTGTAGAGTGAGGGTGCACTTATCCTTTGGAGAAACAGCTACTTCATAAGAGGCGCTCAAGAAATGGTTAAGTCATCTTTTTGCTCAACTTGATATAATCTTTATACAGCCTGAGATTCCAGTTTAGTGTAATGCAATTCCAGAGACAAAGAGTTGCAAATGTGTAGGTTTCAAGTAACTTAAGGCTTTTAGAATTTCCTCCAGTCAGATTTTCTTCAAAAGTTCAGTTGCAGAAATTGAAACACACGCACATACATATATATGTATATATATGACATTCCTCGTTTCCAAGCTGCCCTCTGGCATATCTTTTCCATCTGATGTATTTCTGCTGCTAAAGCTGAAAGAGATTGCATAAAGGGAAAAAAAGGCACACAAACCGTGTGAAACAACAGACCCGAACTTGTGCAGGCACTGGTGTGCCAGGCCAGTTGGGAAATCCCTCTTGATTCTGAACCGCTTGTTGGACTCAAAAGTTTTTGCAATCCAAAGCCAATCCAATTTTCATTGCAGCACTTTTTTTCCACCAGAGACCCAACACAGCCTGAACTGTTTATCACGCTATCTTGCCTGCTTTCCCACTTTTTGCTGCCACACACGAATGAAAAAGAACCCCCTCTTCATTTATAGCAGAATCAAAAATGCTATAAAGCTTTTAGCATTCAAAGTAGATAAGTTTGCCTCAGGTGAACCATGAAGTTCTCTCTCCTCTGAAACAGGCTAAAATGTCAAGCTGGCTTTCCTTTACTTTTCCCTTTTTTTCTGCTACAAGGAATCAAAGACTTTTCATTCTACCATAAAAAACAAATGCCAGAGTTAAAGCACATCAAGTAAGCACTCTTTCAAAATCTTCTAAAATTCAAGGAAGGAACAAATATAACCATCTAAAAAAGAAAGAGAAGCAGCATTAAAACTCTGACTTCCTGGGTTCACTATTTCTCTAGGTATTTTCCTTGCTTGTTTGATCGGATCTTTCCTTCTTGATGCTTGTCTACAGCACAGATTCATAGTTCCAGACACAACATTTGCAGCTGTACAAGAAGGAAACATATGAAGTATTCCAATCGTTTTATTTGAATAACATTTATGAGCTCAATTAATTAGTATTTATATCACACTAAGTGAAAAGGAAAAAGGAGAGGGAAAAAGAATATGCAAGTTTGATGACCTGGTTAACTCAAGAAGGGCAGTAAGGTTTGCTCAGTTCAATGCCCAGGCTTGTCCCATAGTTCCTCAACTTATTTACTTCTAGTCATCATTATTCAACATAAGGTCACGGTTTATTAGTCCATTCACAAACTATTGAGCCCAAAGCAAAACGTGCCAAAGATCATACATTACTCCTCCGCTAGAACAAAACCAGTTTCCTCTGCCCACTGTATTCTTCTGTTTCCCTCACAGCTATTGATTTAGATTGTGGAGGTTATTTATTACGCTTTTTCTGTGCAGAGGGTGTTTTTTCTTCCTCTTCTTGCAAACTTTTTTCACCCGTGAAGACCATGTGGAAAGTTGAACATTACTGGCAGGGGTCTTTCCATGGATTACTGATTCCTGCGCTGTAAAGGTGCTCCATCTGGTTCTCAAATTAATTTTCATCAATTGCAAAGCTCTCAGGAATATGCCAGAGCAAGTCTATGTGATGACAAAAACATGTGCGTTTTCATGTACATGCAGTGCACACAGCAATCTGGTACTCAGAGCTGCATCTGCCTTTTCAGTTTAGCTGTGGTAATCTTGTAAGATGCCCATTACTCAAAACTTGAAATCCCTGGATTCTTCCAACTCTGCAAGGTAAAACACACGCACACACACACAAAAAAAAGAAAGGAGAAAAGTGAATAAAATAAGTCATAAAACAACCTAAAGATTAAAGGACTACTGTTATAGTAATCAAAACATGACTAAGGATTTTATATTGGACTCCTATAAAGTATCTATATTTCATATAGGTAAAGACATTATTCAGAAACACGCATATGTACTTGATATACACACGAAGACAAACTACAAAATTTTCTTTTCCACTTCCAAAATTCCCAAAACTTTGACATGTATAACTAATAAAATGTATCTAGGAAGGATACATTAGGAGGGAAAAAACCCCACAACTTTCTTTTGGTCACAGTCTTTGGGCCAAACTCTTGAAGATTTCACAACTTTGGAGTGAGGATAGGCAAGGGAGATGTTAATGACAAAGCAGGCACAGAGTTAGAACCTGACGCACACAAACAGAGTCACAGAATGGTTGAGGTTTGAAGGGACTTCTGGACATTATCTGGTCTAATCACCCTGCTCAAGTAGGGTCACGTAAGTCAGTTGCCCAGGACTGTATCCAGGCAGCTTCTGAATATCTCCAAAGATGAACACTTATGAACTCTCTGGGGAACCTGTGCCAGTGCTCAGTCATCCTCACAGTAAAGAAGTGTTTCCTGATGTTCAAAGGGAACCGCTTGTGTTTCAGTTTGTGCTTATTTCCTCTGGTCCTGCCACTGGACACCACCATGGAGAGCCTGTCTCTCTCATTTAATTTCCCCCCATCAAGTATCTGTCACATTGAAAAGATCTCCCTGAGCTTTCTATTCTCCAGGCTGAAGAGTCTCAGGTCTCAGACTTTCCTCATATAAAAGATGCTCCAAACCATGAAAGTACAGTGCTAAACTTATCAGTCTCAAAGAGACTAGGAAGATTCCTCCAGGGCTTAAACTACTACTTTAAAGAGATCTAAGGTACTTCAAAATTAAATCTTAGAAGTTTGAATAAATACAGATGAATTCTAAAGACTATTCAAATCCTGCATAAGTCTCCATTTGAAAAAGGGGAAAAAAATTCCCCAAAGTCAGTTTTATACAGAAGAGTGTAAATAAAGTAGGAGAGATCAAGAAAAAGGCTATTGAGGATATTCCAGAAGTTGTATCTTAAGTGCACACATATGCACAGTTATTGGATCTATACAGTTACTGCTAAAGAGAGGTCATTTAAATTAAGAACTGCATTCATAACATTCATCAAAGATGTATCTATATTACATACAGCACTATACCTCATATTTCGTGTAATCAGGTACTTATTTCAGTGTAGCACTGATGCACCAATAAGATTTTTTTTTTAAAGGGAAAAGATAAGAAAACAAATTTATAGACATAAAGGCAAAAAAGTAGTTTACAACACTATGCAGTTAGATTACTTATCAGAAACACTGAGGTTTGGTGAGCCACTGCCAGACCTTTTCAGCAAACAAACCAGTTTACAACAAACTGAAGTTTTAAAATCATGGCTGCTATTAATTTCTTTTTCATCACAGCATGATGAAGATATGAGAAATGTCACCTAGACTTTACAAATTTCTGGTGCTTCTTGATTACAGACCAAAGAAAGTTCTTATAAAGGAAAAGATGCAAAAACTTTCAGAACACAATGGTTTCAAGACAAACTTCTGCACTTATCCCATATGCAAACTTGATCCTCTGAAGGATCAGTGCCATTAGTTCCATACTCACTCGCGTCTTCCTAAAAGACATCTGCATTCAAGAGTTGACATTTTATATTAGTATCATGTGTATTATGATGCAAGCCTTTACTAATCCTACAGAGAAACAAACAAACAAAAATGTTTACTGAGAAAGCAGAGTCTCTGAAACATCAGTTAAGAGCAGCACGAGGTAAGCATGAAACAGAATTGTTTGAACTGTGCAAGAACCATGACTTTACAAGTGAATTATAAAATACAGGTAACTATACGTGCAGTGGCTTTGCATAAAATCTGTATGCAATTTCTGTCCTTATTCACTGCGTATAAAATTAACTATTATTATTATTATTCACTGCATATAATTATTGCATATATAATGCATATATATTCACTGCATTACTAGTAGTAGTATTCACTGCATATAAAATTAACAAGTTTGAGAAAAGGATTTGTGTGTATCTTGACCAATAACCCTCTCTCACCTAAATTTCATTTACCATCACTTTCAAGATTAGACAAAACAAAGGCTTCTCCTCTTAAAAGTACTCTGACTGCATAAGAAATGCTGGACAGGAAGAGATGAAAATCTAAAATAACTACAAAAGGAATAAAGTCAGTCATTATTCAAACACCTTTCTCAATATGATATAACCTTCGAGAATATTCCACCTTTAAATCACTGAGGGTCAACACTTCCTTTATGGTGTACTTATATTCAGACACAAGAAAAAAACCACTTTTAAGACTGCAGTGTCAAACACTCAAAATACATATGTTATATATTAAGACTTAACTCCTTCCATTTCCCTCTCCTTCATTTCCACCCACTCTGTATTTCCTAAGAAATAACCTAATTAAAAGATACCAATGCTAGTGTTCCCTCAAGAAAATCAGTAATTTAGACTCCCCTTCTTGTGTCATTACAGCCATCCCACAGTTCTGCTCCTTTCCATATGTTGAAATCAAGCTTCTTGTCTTGTTTTTCCCCCACCAAGAAACACCATGTCTTCTAACTCTATTGTAAAGCAGGTGTAAGAGCAGAGGATAAAAAGCAATATAGAAGAACTAGGTGTTACTTGCACAATCACCACTACTGCAAATTCAGTTCGGGTTCCCCATAATAAAAAGAACTTGGTCTTCCAGTGGCAACTCATCCAAACTAAATTTTTAACTGCAGATTTTTTTATAACCAAACTTTATGCATCTTTCCTTTCAGAGCAATGCAAGGGCTAATCACAGAAGTACAATGTTTTCTGGTAATTTTTTTCTAACGCTATTTGGACACTAAATATCAATACATCGTAGTTACCTACCTTTACTCTCACTTAAAGGGTAACTAAAAACACCTTTGCTCTGGATTCTCCCTTCAACAAAGGGAGATGATATTTGAACTCATCCTCTAATACTGTGTTTAGTCTATGCCTAGTGATATAAAACTCTTCTTAAGTACAGACACCTAATGAGACAAAAACATTAGACCTGTAACACAGGAAAGTAGGATCCACGAGTATTTTATCTCATTTTGCTTTAAAAGCATAGCTCTTTGCCAATGCAAAACCCAGCAGCAAGTTATGTTTCTGCAGTACAGAAAATTTAGGTATTAATTTTTAAAAATTAGCTTTCACACTGTAATGTCAATATTTAACTCATCATTTTTATCTCCTGTTTCCATTAACTTATATAAAAAGTGTGTTAAGTCACTGTTGGAGAACCAGAAAAATATTTGCTTGATCGCTTGCACCTTTCATTGGGGTGTCTCTTTTGTTGACAGAAGGAAGTCATGCATAGCCAAATGTACCAATACTTCAGCAAGATCTTCAGCATTTTATGTTTATTCAAAACATAAATATTTTTTAATAGCTCAAGTTTCAATAGTTCAAGGCTCCAGAGCAAGTATCTGAAGGTAAGGATAAAAGGGGTCTGGGAAGGGAAGGAAAGCAAAGAAGGAAAACTGAAGTGAGTACACACTATTTCTACATTATTATCTTAAAAAAGTCAAACCAAAAAAGGACTCACAGTCTGCTTTTGGAAGATTCTGACTGCCCAAACTTCTTAAGGAAACAAATATAAGCTGAAGAGTCTTTGAAAATATTTCAGGACTTTTCAGCATAACCAGATTTCCTTCCTGTCAAACCTGCACGAGGTCAAGGGAAACTGTAGTTTTCCCTCACTTTACAGTCTAAGAAGAAAAAAGTGCACACCAGTATCCATGAAGATAGCAAGAGGTTTTTAAAGTGCTGGTCACAATTGGTTCAGCACAAGCTGATGGCAGATGATCCCACCAGCTATCAAATGGTGACTGTGGAAGCAACCATCAAGGTTACTACTGAAAACTACATTACAAAATTGGCACACTATGTAATATAGTTACTATATTACAGGCTAAATACTATAGAGTTAGAAGCTGATGATACAATTTCTTGTTTATTTAGTCCAACTTATAAAGTAACATAAATAATTAAATAATCCTATCCAAAAAGAAAAAAAATTATTTAACAAAACTAAATACTTAATTCCTAAAAAGCCTGAAGATAACTCATTTGGAGGTAAAAGATTTTTTTTCCATTAAAAACAGGCTAATTCCATAGGGAGAAAATGTAATTTTGACCTGAATAGGTACTGGTTTTCCTCTTCTTTCATTCATATCTTCTATTTATCTTTGGTTTATTCACTTTCCATTGTGGCATAACTCTTTGAGGTCAACACATTTCTTGCACATTACACAGCAAGACAAAATTAATTTGGAGGACGTGATTGTAAATAAACACCAATAAGCTAAATAATGGATGTAAAAAATGTTCTTTACTCCAAGAAAAAAATGAAGGAAGAGTGGAGAGGAAAAAGAAGTTAGAAGATGCTTGATTTTTGTTCCGTTTGTTCTTTAATCATTTTCTCTCTACAATATTTGTCCTTGTGTAATTCTAGAAGCTCTTTCCCTACTTGGGGACAGCTGCATGGCCTGGGCAAGACAGTCAGTCATTAATCAGAGATGTAAAAAGACCTGTAACTGCAGCATAGCTGCCCAGAAACAAATAAGCAGCAAAGGTGTAATGCCAAGCACTGTGATGTTAACTGCCAGCCCATTAATACAGACACTGTAATGTTAGTTATGTGCACCTATATATCCTTAAGCAAATAAAACTGACAAAAATTATTTGCTGGCATATTGAAAGAAGTGAAGCTTGTATCAGTGGCTGTTCAGCAGACATTCATTGTGAGTATTGACAAAATTTATCTCATTGCAATACTCTGACAAACTTAAAACCATCTCCTCTCCAAATTACACTCTCTGAGAAGTGAAAATAAAAAAGAGTAGTAGCTGATTGGCATTTCTGATGTGCTGAATGACTCTCCTGGGTCCTTGTAATAGCAGAGAAGGCAATATATGCATGTAGCATACATTGTTTAAAGTGCAAGATCTTTTTCATGTATAGTTCTTATACGAAAAATAAAGGAAATATTTGTATGATTTCTAGAACTATTATATATACTGCACTTTCAATTCTTGACGCTACACCATCAGATTAAATGGTAGTTAAATTAAAAAGTATTTAGAAGTAATATGCAATAAACAATTTTAAAATGCCTTCAGGAAAATATTTTTCAAGAAAAACACCAAAGGTCTTTAAGCAAACTGTAAGAAACCATTAATTGTGAGTTGCCAAATTTATATACATTCTCCAAAAGGCAGAGGCCTGAAGACATGAAATACAGCAGATTGTTAAACACCCTGTCTATGGAAGAAGTGAGGTAAATAGTTACACTGTTCACAGGGAAAAGAAGTTAGAAAAAGTAAAACAGATTCAGCCTCAAATCTAAGGATATTTGAGATACCAGAACTTGCAAAAGCATGCAAGAGAGAACAACATCCAATTTGTTGTTGTTGTGTTTTGGTTTTGTTTTGAAACCCTTTCTCTAACAACAATATACTTTTTGATGAATAAATAATATATCCACTTGTGGAAGAACTGATGCAAGTCCCTTTAATCAGTTACTGGTCAAACATGCTCATGGGAAATTTCTGAGTCAAATAATGCTAGATCTGTTATGCTTATATGGCAGGGAAGCAAACCAGAAAAATAACTGAAGGCTAGACTTCAAAATACAAAGCTTTCAGCTGTAAGACAAAGCAGAAGCTCCCATAGCTCTGATCATTTCTTCCTCAACCCCGAACACAGCACACTATGCCCTTCACTTAAGCCAGAATGATCACTCAAGGTGCTACAGTCTGAACTACATCAGAGAAATTGTCCAAATAAAAATTTTAGAAACAAAGATTTGTAACAGCTTAACCAATATATATCTGGTTTGCTAGATCAGCCACACTCTCAGCTTCCCTTGTGACAAACCATACCCTCTAGCCCCTTCTAACACAAGGTACCAGCACTCTTTCAATCGTGCAGTTCAGGAAGCTCATCTTGCCAAAAAACTTAAATTTGCCTCCAAATTGCCTCTAAAAACAGCAACTGATTTTAAGAGAGTTTCCCTTAGTGAACTCACCATGCATATGCAACAACACTATTGCCAATGCAAGAAAGGGGTTGGGAGGTGTGGCTGGAGATTTTAATCAGTTTGAACTGTGCCCAAAACCTTTTGGTTTTTTATTTTGAATCAACCCCTGACACAGCCCCAGTGCTGTCCCACATTCAGCTGCACTGGCAAATTGGAAAAGGAGGAGCTGTACAATGCAAGTGAGAAACAGAAGGAACAAGTACCTGCAACTAGTATTGCCACCTGAAGGTTACTGATGACAAAGTCTGGGTACAGAATATTTCTGGACTCAGGGGTTTGTCCTCAGAAAAGAAGGAAGCAAAGTTTTTCTCTTGAGGATGAATTTGAGATGGCTACCAAAATGTCCTGGAGCCAAAGCCACCCATCAGCCATGAAAATACGCCTCATTTTCAAATAAACAGAGGTGAGCAGAAATACTTCAGACAGATTTTGAAAGGCCTGTCTCGGAAAATAAAATATACGATTATCATATACTAGTCTTTTAAACAAATTAGAGATTCACACCACTGAAACTTTAGAGATTCAAAGAAATGTGAAGTGTGACCAAGAAATTCCTTTCACTTGAAAGTGTCAATCTTCTCTCGCAAGAAAGGGTTGCAATCCTCACAGCACAGAGAACACTTAGACAATGTATACTTCACCAGACACTTCCTTAAAAAGCGGCAACAACTGTGTCTCTCTAATGACATGCAAAGTTCTTCAAGGGAGGGAGCCCCAGGTTTCACCACCTCTTTTCCATCGAACTGATTGCACTGACCTTGCCTGTAATTACAGAGCGATTTCTTCCCCGTAGGAACATTCTGCAGCCTGCAAACATCCCTCGAGCCTGCAGCAGTTCCAGCTAGTTCCTAATTATCTCCAATATCTACCCATAGGCTCTTTGAATACTTTCTTATGAACACACACTGATGTTTCGATATTCTCCTCCAAAATTCCAATATACCTTTGTATGTCATACAGGCACTGCCACACTGGAAAAAAACCAATAAAATAAAAAAAGGAGGGGAAGATGTAGGGAGAAAACGACAGAAGTTACCAGTTTTTAAAATTCCTAAAAGCCTCATAAACAATAATTATTTCTGTTGGACAGCAAGACACATTTAAATCAGAAATCTGATAATCGCTGAGAAGCAGTTTGTTGCAGCAGGGAAGGACGCTGCATCAGCCTGCAGGGAGGGAGCTCTTGGTGATGCCTCCAAGCTGCACCACAGCTGGGAAGAGGACTGTGGGTATGTGCAGTCCTATGCTCACCACAGGCTGCTTGGCTAGAGCTATGAAGCAAGGCACTTCTCACAAAGACCTTCAGTGGGCTGGACATATGTGTCTGTATGTATTTTTTTAAAATATAAAAAGACAAGAGTTGCATTTTGCAAAGAAGTTGGGTTTCTCAGTCTTTGGCTTTGGGATCAAGAACTTAACTCGTCCTGACTGTCCTCAAATGTGCCACAACTGAAGATCTCAGTCTGCGTTAGAGGACCTCCACTCACCTCACAACCACTGCTTAGAGGTCTAGATGCAGTGCACGCATACTCCTGCCCTTGCAATAAAGAAGTGCAAAGCTAAAGAACAGCTTCATCTCCTCCCCATACCTTTTGTCCCCTTTTGCTTCAAGTTACGCGTTTGTTTCCTCAAGGTTCTGGAAGTTTGTGCCAAGGTCTCTGGGTTAAAGGAGGCATACAATGTAATGGAAACATACTAACTCAAGGAGTGGCCACTTTAGAGGTAACCTTGATAAGAGAGAATCACTGCAAAAGCCTTTGTAAAAGCCAGGAGCTTTAAATGAATGCTTGGAGCACAGCAAAGACTTCTGTACAGAAATGAGTTGTTTCACTACCACGACTCAGAAGGTATGAGATCAGCTGCATACACGTCTTGTTGGTAAATGAAGTTTTCAGTCTGCTCTGTCTGCAAAATCATGCCAAGTGTTGACTGGCCACCTGTCCAGACAGAAGCAAGGAGGCCAGCAAGACACAGGTGTCCTCTAGGCACAGTCATGTTCTGGTGGGTGAGCTGAAGGCAGGAAGGCATATCTGCACCTATGCAAATTCACAGAGCAGTCTTGTGTCCAAGTAGTATTACTCTGTAGAGGCCTTCACAATTCTGATTCTCTCTTCATATGAAATACCTAGGTAGATAAAATGTAAAATTTTGAAGTGGGGATAAGAAACAGCAGTATGCTGTAGTCGCCAATAGCTCAATCCCTCCTCATGCATGACTGTGACACTACTACCTTTCTAGTAAGAAGCCTGTAATAGGTAAAAATCACCAATTACAGATGTATGTGGTGGAAGGATGGCTATCAATGACCGTGTCTTCTACTTTCTTAAGCATGAAAAATAAATATGTGTTAAAATGATCATAGATGAAAATGAATTAATAGAAGGAGTTTCAGAAACACTAG